GTGTATCATACACTTTATGCCAGCGTTGCATATCCGGAATATGCAACGGTGGCATAAAGTGAATGATACACCGTCGCAATGCAACGGTGGCATAAAGTGTATGATACACCGCCGCAAAACTGCATTCCTCCGGTCGTGCGGAGATGCATCCGGTTTGGGTACCGGCGGATAGCAGGTGAACGCTAAGGTGGGTTTCGAACCAGTGACAACGCCCGTCTGGGTTTTTTGCGCCGAGTCGAACTGCGGGATTCGAACTCGAGACCCAATGCAGTTTTGCGACGGTGTATCATACACTTTATGCCACCGTTGCATTGCGACGGTGTATCATTCACTTTATGCCACCGTTGCATATCCGGATATGCAACGGTGGCATAAAGTGTATGATACACCGTCGCAGGTAGCATAGGACCTTGTTGGCAGCAGCCAGCTTGTTGCGCTGCTTCGTTGCGATGAGCTGATTAGGATCGCAGAAGTGCATGCCAAGCACCGCCACGATCTTGAAGCAGAACACATCGCAACCGCATCGTCCGCACTGCCATCGGCATGCCGCGCCCGCCGCTTCGCCGCAGCCGCCTTAAGACACGCATAGCGGCAGCACATGGTACGTTGCGCGTACTTGAGCAGGCGTTGCGCACCGCAAGTAGCGCACTGGCCCTGGCAGAAGGCGAACTGGTTGGTCGGGACCGTCCAGGTATTTTTCGTTCGGGTAAATCTTAATTAAGGCTTTTCAGGTATACCCACCTATCGCCCACATGTCGACTTTCTCCCTATAGGGTTTTACCCGGAATTGGCCTTATGTCGTCTAAGTTCATGGCCCCCGACCATACAGCGTCTAAGTCTGAGCCCGGCTCCGTGCGGGGGCTAAGTTGAGCGCTCGCTCGCTGCAGAGGCTAAGTCGTAAGTGTAGAGCGACCCTCTAGCCCTACTATACCCAACCATTATATTACTTTCCTCTCTCTCGAAGCTGCGCGTGGGCGTGGGACGGACACTCCGACTCACTTTTTGCGTTTCCGACCCCCCCCCGCTGCCAGCGGACGGCCCCGCGCCGCGCCCGCGGCGCGCATGGCGCGGGATCCGCGCATTAGCACGATAGTAGCAACGGACGTGCCACAGAGATCGTGTGTGTGGAGCAGAGAGAGTCGTTGGAGAAGAACTAGATCTCCGCCGTGAACTCAGCACTTGGCCGTTAGGGTTAGCGGCAAGCCAGTCCCTCCAGTCGCGGTGCGTCGCCGCACCGCGCACCGCGGCGACACCCGCGCGCCGGAGTGCGGAGACCGGACGCAACCCCCCCTGGCTGGTGGCTGCGCGCCGGACGTCCACCGACACCCGCTCTCTGGCGCCAACTCCCTCTCCCCTTGTGTACGGCCCGCCTAGTCGGCGCCTCTTCGTGTACTCGCTCAATCTCTCTCGAGTCAGATGACTCTGCAGGCCCTGAGCCATTCGCGCCTGCTGTGGACTAAATGGTCCAGCTCTGCAGGGCATTCGGCGGCGCCGGAGCGTCCGCCTCTAGTTCCTCTTCCCCCCCCCCCTCCTCCTCGAACGTCTCCGCGGTCTCGACGGCCCGCCTTCGGCTCGACTTCCGCCCATGCCAAAGCGCGCGACGGCCCGGCTGGTCGAACCCCCTCGCCTTGTGAGAGAGCCGACGCCACACAGCCAGCCCGCACTGCATGGCTGCAGCGAGCGCGAGCAGCGTCGCCCCGAGCACAAGCCGCACAGGCCCGCCGAGGACTGAAGTCGGAGGACTGGGCGACAGCCGCGCTCCATGCGGCGGTTGGGGCGACGGCAGCGGCGACGGCGGCGGCGCAGGCGACGGCGGCGGCGCGGGCGGCGGCGCGGGCGGCGGCGGCACGTCTGTGACGCGAACGTCGGAGACGTGCAATGTGGCCGTGGAAATATTGCACCTCGGGTGCGCCGCGTCGCAGCCGCCATCCAGCCAGCTCAGGTCGTCCGCGCTCCAAAGCGACACGACCAACGTCATGCCGCCGGACAGCGCTGCTCTTGTGCGGGCGCGGTCGGTAGCTGGAACCGGCGCCGGGAAGCCGTCGGGCGAGGCGCTGCCGTTGACGGCCGCCGGGTCGAAAAAGAGAAGGCTGGCCTGCTGCTGAACGAGTGTCACGTCGAATGCCCCGCCCTCGTCGAACGTGGCGCTGACGGTGAAAGGCCGGGCGGTGTCGATGCGCGGCGCATGCAGCCCATAGAGGCCGGCCGAGGCGGCGGTGTTACCGGCATTGGCGACACAGCCGTCCTGGTTGCAGCTGCCCGCTCGGCCGCCTCGCCCTACCGTGGTGTGGAGCGCGGCCTGCACCGCCTTGGTGTTGGCCTCCAACAGGTCGATCTCGAGGCAAGGCTCCGCATCGTAGCCCTGGATGTCGCAGTACATCGAGGCGTCTGCGCCCGGCCGCGGCGGCATCGCAACCTGGCGCGAAGCAGGGCGGTGCGGGTGGGGCGAGAGACTAGTGCCGCAGGCTATTGACAGAGGGCGTGAGAAGGGCGAAACGAGCATCTAGAGGCGGCCACGAGGTAGACGGCCGCATTGCAGCCGCAGCCGACGGCAGAGAGGTCAACCTCGAAGGCGAGGCGGCGGTTGAGCAGCGGCAGGCGGAGGTACGAGAAGTCTGACCATTTGGGTCTCTCCTTGCTCGGGATCTCTGCCACTGCGTACAGCCGGTTGTTGCCGCGCACCGTGAGCCGCTCGCGCAAGGCCTGCACGTTCCCGACTTTGCCCCAGGCCTCACCCACGAAGCCGCCAGCACCGCTGCTGCCGCCAATCGGTAAGGACCAGGCGGTTAGCGTCGGCGACCAAGCACCGACGGCGAGCGTGGGCGCGAGGAGGACTCGTGACATATATATATTATCGGACCCGGGAGCCGCCCGCCGTGTCGCTGTCGTGTCTTTTTCTTTTCTTTCTTCCCACATTGGCGCCGGGAGGACTCTTGAGGTGAAGGATAGTGGTGGTCCCCACCTTGCTCACTGGTGTACCTGTGTTAGTTAGCCAGTGCGCGCCAGTCCTGTGCCTAGTGTCGTGCAAGGGAGTTCCGTCGTAAAATTCTCGGTGTGCCTGTGTGTTGTTGTTTGTTTGTGTTGGTGCCAGGGTTCGGGCTCCTACCCGGATAGGGGGTCTGAACCCACCCGTTGGAGCCACCCCATGGTTTGTTCGGCCCGATTTTGACGGCAGCGGAGGGTCCCGCAATACGGTGGTGTGTATGTATGTAGGAAGGTAGGTAGGTGAAGAAACAACAAACTGACCCCCTACCTATCGGGGGCCCGAACCCAATGTCGGCCTGGGTTCCGGCTCCTACCCGGATAGGGGGTCTGTTGGCACTGACTCGCGCCAAAACGCCCTACCTACCTACCTATCCCCAGGCCGCGCAGCGAAGCGAAAAAAGATCAAACGGGGTACCTACCTATTGCAGGGCCCTTTTGGGCCAAACAAGACCAACCTACCTACCTATCTGGGAGGGGCCAGCCAGTGCCAACAGACCCCGTATCCGGGTACCCCCTATCCGGGTAGGAGCCGGACCAGTGGTTACCATCTCAAAACCAGCTCCTGCTCTGGCAAGACGTCCTCGGGGTTGGGTGGGCGCTGTTCGGCCTGCACGGTTGAGGGCCGGAATGTGTGCTGAGGAAGACCTGAGGGAGTACCTACGGCGTCATAAAGTGGAGGACGTGATGAATGACCTGGTTGGCCTCATCGCAGCCACCCAGCCGGCCGAGCCCTGGGACTTTGTCGCGGACCGGCTCGCGGCACTGGCCGACGCGGGCGCCCGGGCTGTCGCCTCCGGGACCATCGGCGGTGTGCGCACGGCGCCGTCGCTCGGGCTCTGCACGGCGCAAGAGGCGGAGGCCATCTCTGAGCTTCTGCGCGCCCAACTACGAGAGCGCCTTCGGAAGTCTGACCAGGAGGAGTGGCTGCGGCGCCGCAAGTGGCTCGGGTTCTACGAGGGCTGGCACGCGCCGCACCTGAGCTGCGCTCGTGGCACGCTGGAGCTGCTGCCGTGGAGGTCCGGCAAGCCGACCACGGCTCTGGTGGAGCACCTCGCCAGCGGCGCGCTCGATGGTTCAGTGAGCGCCATCGAGCTCGGATGCGGCACGGGCGAAAACCTTGTGTGCCTCGCCGGTGCTGCAAGGGCCGTCACCGGCGTCGACATCGCGCCGGTCGCAGTCGTCGCAGCGCAGGAGGCCATCACCCGCTCTCGGGTGCAAAACGCCAGAGTGCTCGAGGCGGATCTGCTGGCTCCGCCCGATGAGCTCCAGGGCGCATTCGACTTCGCGTTCGACTGCCAGACTTACCAGTGCCTCCGACAGGTCAGCATCGTCGCCGCTGGCGCTGCCGTCGCCGGGGTGCTGCGGCTGGGCGGCACGCTGCTCCTCCTCACCGGCAACGCGGACGAGCCCGAAGAGCGAGGGCCCGTCAGGCTGACGCGTCGAGAGCTCGAGGACGGCCTGGTCCCTGCGGGTCTTGAGCTCGTCTCCTGCGATCCATTCTTCTTCGACGAGACCGAGGCGTATCGGGTGCAGGCCGAGGAGCGAGGTCTTGCCCGGCCCCCACGCGGATGGCGGTCACTGTGGGTCCGCGTGCGGTAGCGAGAGTCGTGGTCCGGTGCAGACGTAAAGTAAGGTCGGTAAGGTGTAAGGTAAACGTCTCCACACACACACAAAGGGGGTGCGGGGGGCGACCCTCGCATCTCCACGCGCCACAGGACGGACACTCGGACACGGGCGGGACACGCGGCCGGCGGGAGAGCATGGTCGTGTACAGTCTCGCGTCGCGCTTGGATATTATATTTTGTGTCGATCGCGTCAGAGCAATCGATTGGCAGAGGACTCGATCTCGAGCGTCGAGGACAGCGACGCACCTTCTTCTCTACTTACTCGATAGCGGTCCCGCCGTAGCTCGCGCATAGAAGCAGGAAGCTATACGGCTCTAGGGGCAGAGGCCGCATCGCGTCAGTGGTATACGTTTTACCCGAAACCGAAACCAAAACACGGATCTCCAAACCAAAAGGGATGAAATCCCTTACCCGGGTATGGATATAATCGCCAAATTATCTCAGGAACATAGTGTGAATGCCCGGGAACAGCCCCTCCTGGCCCGAGTGCGGGGCGCGAGGGACAAATTCAGAGGGCATGAAAGTCGTCAAGCTGCTTGATCAGGCCAGTAAAGATGGCCCGCGAGGCAGCCTTCGTGAGCAGGTCGGCGAGCATCACGACGCCGGGGAGGTGTTCGACAGAGATAACGCCACGGCTGACGAGATCGCGAAGGAATTCGGCGGCGCGCAACATGTGCTTGGTCTTCTTGAAGGCAACGCCAACGGGATCGAAGGCCATGCCGACGGCGGATTTGCTGTGTCGCTGTCCCTTGTCAGGAGCAGGAGAACTAGGAGTAAGGAGAGCGCAACCAGTAGGAGGCCCGCGCCTGCCCCCGTGCCGCCGGGTGCAACCTGTCCTATACGAGAGAGGAATCCCTGGGTGGGACCCTGTCGTGTGGGTGAACCCTGCCCAGCCCCCCTCCGAGTCGCGATGCGCTCCCCGCTCCCGTTCCCCTGTGTCCCTGATCGTCCTTACAAGATCCTGCTCGTGCAGGTGGGGACCCTGTCCTTCTCCCACCCCTCGTTTGGCTTGCCCGTTTTATTTATTTTTTACTGCCTCGGTGCTGTTCTCAGCGCGTCGGGGTGTGTAGCTTTTGTAGCACGGTCCGTCGCATGTATATGCCAACCATCACCGCCGTCGACTTTGAGCGGTGGCGCACTCAGGGGTGCGTGCTCGACCCACCTGATGAGAGCTTCGTCCGCGGCGTCATGGTGATTCTTCACGGTCTCGTCAGCAAGCCCGAGCTCAACGGCAGGCATGGCCTCGTGCTCGGCCCGCTCGCATCTGGCCGCGCGCCTGTGGCGATAGCGCCCGTGCAGGACACTGAGCATCTCATCCAGCTTTCGGTCAAGCCTGCGAACTGTGCGCTACCGCCCGAGCCACCGGATAGGCTGGCGACTGCTTGGAACAACTTGGCGCTCGCATACAAGCGAGCCGGCGCGTCAGCGTATGACCAGGCGGCCGCAGCGTATGAGACAGCGCTGAAGCTTCAACCTGGGAAGCCAAACTTCATGGCCAACTACATCAAGCTGTGCCTGGTGATGGCCGGTGAGAGGCGCGGCGACCCTGAAGTAGCTCAAGCCCTGCAGGAGAAGGCGGGTAAATATCTGAGCAAGCTCTTCCGCCCGGTGACGACGCTGCCCGAGAATCGGGGTCTCGACTGCAATCTCGGCATCGACTTTGTTCCAGGATACTCGCAGCGCATGCTGACGGCAGGCGTCGTGAACTCAGTGGACGCGCAGCCGGCACGCACGACGTATGCACGGCAGTGGGTCTACGATCCGCAGCGGGAGGCGCTTCAGGAGATCAATCCGGGCGATGGAAAACCGCTGACGATGAGCGCAGAGGCCAGAGAGGCGATAAGCCGTGGGCATGGGACACACGTGCAGAGAAATGAGAGGGGAGAGACCGTGTGAGAGTTATGGACATGCCTGGGGCCAAGCCTCCCGTGCCTCATGTGACCGGACTCGCGTCACAATCGGTCTCTATGCGCATAACGTCTGTCTTCGGTCGGTCCCGCGAAATCCGTATAAATAGAGAGAGAGTCTGCAGAGAGAAGAGACAGGAACAAGCGCGCCTTTGTGTGCAAGGCTGCAAGCGCGGCTCGGGGACGGGGGACCCCATTGTGCATATTCGTGCTTGCCACCTCGGGATAGTAAGAACACAGAAAACACAAGTGGGACTCCAAGTGGGTGCGAATTCTTTCTCTGCCTGTGATAGTACTAGCGCGCACCAGTCCGCACCTGTGTCGAGCCTGTCTGCTGTGAGAGAGAGTTTTGCTTGGAGCACTTGGACGCGCGCTTCCTCGCGTGCGCGGGCCTCGGCGGGCAGCACCTCGTCTGGTGCTCTGCTAGTCGCTAAATGTGCTGCTGTTTGGCGCATTGTGGCAGGGCTACTGGCACGCGGAGCTGGGGTATCCACCCGTCTCAGCTCGCTGCCGATCTCTACTACTTCTACTACCTCCCGCGTGGCGTGCACGGGAGGCGTCGGGTGTCCCGTGTGCCCGGCGGGCGGGGCGCGCACCATGCTGCTTGAGGGTGATCGACGGGCGCTCCGTTTGTGCATTGAGCCAAGGCTACTCGAAAAAGAAAGAAAGAAAACAGACAACCCAAGGGAGGGATGGGAGGACGGCACGCCGCCACCACACAGGGATTTTAAGGAGAGGTGTCCGTGGTGCGCTAGCCCTCGCCCACCCTAGGGAGTCTGCCTCTTCCTATCTCTCTTCGCAGTCTCTCGCCGATTCTCGCTGCAACCTTCATGCCACCTCGCGGTCGTCCCACTCTCGTCGTTCTCTCCCTTGTCACTTCCTCCTCTGTCGCGTCGTTCTCTTCTGCCTCGTCCTGCGACGCCGCCGCCTGCCGGTCCCTTGTTCTCGCGGCTTCTTTCGCCTTTCGGCGCAACTCCGTCCTCCTCGCGGCGTATCCTGGCCCCTCGAGTCTATCGAGCTCCCCTCGCGCAAGGACCACATTTCTGACTCCCACTCCGATCATTTGCCTACAGGTCATGTTGTTGCTCAGGTCCACTCTCTCTTCGAACACTCGTGCCTCTACGGATGATGCCGGCGCTGGGGTCCCCTTCGGATGCATACTCGAGAGGCATTCCCGTTTGCGCCCAAAATTCTTCTCGCACCCAAGAACCTGCGCGCACCTGACAGCCACGCAGAGACGGCGCGTCGCGAGCTACCGCCGACAGGGAGATTATGGCCGACAACTGGGAAATCGCCGCGATTGAGGCCGAAATTGCAAAAGCCACGAAAAAGGCCGCCGAGGCCGAGGCGGCAAGGCGGCAAGCGGCGGCGGCGGCGGCAGAGGCGGCTTCGGCGGCGGAGGCGGCAGAGGCGGAGGCTCGAGCGGCTTCGGCGGCGGCTAGGGAGGCGGCGCGAGAAGAGTCTCAGGCGGACATTCCCCACGCCGGGCCAGAAGCACCGTCGCCGCAACCGGCAAAGTGGAGAGCCGTCGGACAGACGAACCGGAAGAAGGCACTCTCGCTGTCCGTATGCGACCTTGCTCTGCTGGAGGACTGCCCGATTTGCTTCGAAAACAAGGCCGACATCGAGATGCTGCCTTGCCGCCACTCGACGTGCGCGGCGCCCGCCAAAGCGGTTGTGTGAGCGCCGCCCCTGCTCAGCCAGGGCCGCCCTGCCGCAGGTGTGGCGGCTGCCTCGACGAGTGGATGTCGGGCTGCAGCTCCTTTGCACAGACCCTGCGCAAGGGCTCCTCAAACACCACCTGCCCGCTCTGCCGAGCTCCAGTCGAAGAGACGGCGGCGGCCAAGCCCAGCCGAGTCGGGACGGCGGCAGAGGCGACAGAGGCTGCACCGCGGGAGGCGGAGGCTGCACCGCCGGCTGGGGCACGTGCGCTGCCGCCTAAGGCGTGTGTGCCGCCCGCGTCCTACACGCCGGCGCCGGCGCAGGCCCCGCTGCGTCGAGTGCCCTCCCCGCCGCCGCAGCGGCCGCCGGGGCTGCCTCCGCAGCCGCCGCAGCCGCCACAGCCGCCACAGCCGCCACCGCCCCGAGAGCCGACGCCGACGCCGCCAGGGCCGCCGGGACTGGCTCAACGGCCACGGCCACCACACGCCCCGGCGGCAGCGCCAGCCAGAACCGACGCGCCCGCCGCTGCGCCGGCAGTCCCCGCTCCAGCTCTCGCGCGCCCGTCGCTCCTGATGGAGAACGTGCGTCGCATCCGGGCGGAGCTCTCGCTGGCGGACGGCCCTCTTCTGGTGGTGCTGCGCAGCGCTCACGAGGCGCTCGACCTGACTCCGTCCGGTGGAGTCCTCCAGCAGACAGAGAGGCTGCTGGTCGAGCTCTTTGGGCACACCTGATCGTCAGCCCGCTCAGCGTCAGCCCGGTGGTCTCGCGATGAGATCACTTATGTACGCTTGCGTGACTTATACATTGATAGCGAGTGGAAGGCGCTCCGTCTCCGCTCGCATCGAGCGCGGCTTTACTTTTGGGAAATTTTCAACTTGAGGGCTTGCGTGTTGCGCGAAAGGCAGCGAGACCCGTGGGGAACTGACGTAATGTAGGCTCTCTTAGAGCTCGGCACGACCCGCATGCCGCAAAGCGGGCTAGTTCCAATTCACTCTGACACGCTTATCTTGAAAACGTCCAACGGAGCTCCGTGTTGCTCCCAGCGCCCTCCCCCGTGCTCCCTGCGGCCATGGCCGATGATCCTAGTACAGGCCTTGTCAGGTTCTCGCTCATCCACCCACCCTCCTCGACCTTCCCGACGATACCAGCGGGCCCGCCTCCACCTAGAAGACTGGTGCTGGGGGGTGAGTGTTCCCTGCTTCCGGCTTCTGCATATACCTGAGCTAGGGCCTGAGAGGCCTCGCTGGAGCCGAGGCATAGCGGCGTGATTTCGGACCTCCACCACCCCAGTCTTGTCCCGGGCTGAGTGGCATCAACACTAGCCCGCCCGCTGTTCCTAGGGTTGCGCGAGCTGTCCGAAGCTGTCACAGCTAGGGTTGCAAGACCTCAAAAGCCGGTCATCCACCACCCGAAAATGGCCGCCCTCCCCTCCAGAGCGCCGCCACAGCCGTCGTGCAAAACGGCCCAACCACCGACACGACCGCCACCGTCCGGCGGCAAGGCATACGCTCTGAGGCCGTAGAATGGGTACGGCTGCATCTAGCTCTTTGCGCGGGTCAAGTGTACCTGGCCTCCCCTTGATGGTCCTAGGCGGGCTTCTCCACAGGAGTCGATCTTGGAGAGGGGCAGTGCTCACTCTGCACTCTCTGGTCGGCCTGCTGTATCGACCCGTCGTGGCTTCACATCTACCTCGTGCCAGCGGCTCTCCTCGGCACCAGAGCGCTCCATCATACGCCAGAGCCTGTCCTGGGGCGGGTCCCCACGCCCTTACAATCATACGCATAAAAAAACCCGGACTCAATCGATTGTACTGCGGTGGTGTGAGTGAATGCACCATGAGCAAAAACCTGACTTGGCCTGTATGAGAGGTCATCTGGCTACCGCGAGAGCGACCCAATTCGTCGACATCGTCCGATGATGGTCCCGCAAAGTCAGCCTCCGGAGGCTATCGTGGGGTCGAGCCGGCAGTAGCCGTGATATGTGGTTCTACCACCCCTTGTAGGCTTTGCCTCTGACCGCCACCGTTCCCAGGCTGCCTAATGGGATGGAAAGGAAGGCTGGGCGAGCGTATAGAAGCGTGCTCGACCTCGTCGTGGCAACCTGCACGGCAGCGCTGGCAGGCGCGATGAGCGTCGTGCCACCTGACCCGAGACGGGTCGCAGGCGCCGTACCGAGCGCGTCGAGACCGTGTCCTGATGCGCTCTGCACGGGTGAGTCACGTCGGCGTCGAAGGAGCGACGTGCGACCTGACAAAGGTTTTGTAACGCGAGCTGTGCCACAGCGTCCCGGCACAGGCAGCTGAGCACTGAGCAGCACGCAGCAGCTGCATTAGCAGCTGAGCAGCACATCTCATGTCCGGCGCGCGCGCATCGGTGTTCACTCGGTGTGGCTCCCGCGCGGTCAAGCGGTACGGCTTCGCGCTTTGAGCGCGCGCTCCCACCTCCCCGGCTGGCACGAATCGCGAGCTCCCACGGGCATCCACGGCACGTGAACCGTCGGCGCCTTCTTTGTGGTGATGAGCGGAGCGCCGTCGCCGTCTCAGGGCGCTGTATTCGTACACGTCTTCCAGCCGGCGGAGCGCGCGTGAAGCCATCTGACCGGCTGGCACGTAATTTCTGGGCGCACGCGGCTCGCGTTGCCCACTCGAGCCTGGTAGGTGCGGGCGATGGTCTCTTTGAGCTCGCGTGCCGAGTCGCCAAGCTTGAGCTGGTGAACGACGAGGCCATGCGCCGCGTTGAAGCGGTTGGGCATCGGCCAGATGTAATACTCGACGTTCCAAAGCAAACTCACCGTGTAAAGCTGCACGCCCGTGAACGCCCGCGCTCCAAGCCACCCGATTATAGCGTCGCACGGGTCGGGAGGCTCGCGGTAAGGACCGTGCCGCCGCCCCAAGCTCTCAAGACGTTGCCGGGGAGGCGCCGCCAGCCTGTTCATTCCGTGGCCCTTGACGTATTCAATCAGGCGCGTGGCTGCTGATCGCGAGTAGAAGTAGAGCCCGCCCTGCGCCATGGCGAACGAATGTTTGCGTTTTTCCGCCTCGCTCCGCCGGAGGATCCGAGGGTCGCGCTCCGGCCATGCACTCACCTTCCCCGGCGAGTCGTAGCTAAAACCGATGCAGTTGATCGTCTGGTTTGTATCAAGCCGTTCCCAGTGCTCGAAGAGCCCGCCCCACACGGCGGCGTCGGCAGGGAGAGCGGCCTCTATGGCGGCCAGGAACCGCGAGAGCCGCGGCGGGTTGATCCAGGTATCCGAGTCCATCTGACCGATGAAGTGAGAGCGCGGGAACGCCACCTGTGCGTGCTCGAACCATCGCTCGTGCACTGAAGGTGCGGCCACGGCAGATACGGCGGGCGGGAGAGCACCACGACCCCTTCCATCTGCCGCTCTTCTTCTCCACTCACCTCGTCCTCGAATCGACTAGCCGCAGGGTCAACGTCCGACTGGGGTGTGCCCAGAACAGCTGCAGCATCAGCGTATTGAGCTGAGACGAGACGCTGACAGTGGTAATACCAAACACTGAGCTTGAGGCAGGGCGTGCGGGCAGAGGAGCTGGAGGCGTCGGAGATTGCGTCCCATCGTGGTCGAGATCATCGAGGCTAGTCGCAATTTGAGCCAGGCGGCTTCGAACGTCAGAGGAGTTGGCGAATGTGGCAGCCAAGAGCCCAAGACTGGCCCTTGCGCTAGCCACGGCCTGATGGCGGAGAGCGACGCGATCGACGTCCATAGTCAAACTTCGCCGGCAGTTTGAAAAGGACTATATCACGCCCGCAGGGCATGCACCCCCTGTCCCCTTTCTCCCATTAAAAAGTACGTTGGCGAGAGCGCGCGCGCGCGCGCGCGAGAGAGAGAGAGAGAGAGCCGTGCAAAGATAAGGCTCAGCCAGCTCGGACGTTGACCGCACCGCATACCCTCCGCCTCACTTACGACACGCGGCACGAGCCAGGGTGGCAGGTGCTGGCCTCTCTCGTTTCTCGCGTGTGTGTCCCAATGCACGCGTTCCTCCGCGCCCAAAACTCAAAACATAAACCCCCACCCTCGCACGAATGCCCCGCCCGTAACGCGTAAGGTCACACACACACACATAGATTAATGGCAGTTGGCACAGGTGCCTCCGGCTCGGCTCTGCTCTCGTAAGTAGGCACGCGCGTTCCCCGGCCCTCGAACTGAACCGCGTGCCCCTGCTCGGCCTGCCTCCCGCGGTGACTCCCTCGCTGCCAGCCCTGCATCCCGCCATCGGCCCATCCCTTGCTCTCCCTCTTCACCACCCCTTCTCCCCTCGTGTCCACGCGGGGTGCGCCACGTCCGACAGCAGTAAGGCGGTCCGGTCGGCAGAAGGAGCAGACAGCAGCTCTAGGCGCCGCCGCCGCCACCGCCGCCGCCGCCGCCGCCGCCGCCGCCGCCGCCGCCGCCCGGCGAGACGAAGGTCGCCTTAAGCTTCGAGAGGGGCATCGGCTGGATCCAGATCTTACCGGGGCCTTTCATCTCGTTGAGGAAGAGGCCCTCGCCGCCGCAGCAGCACATCAAGCAGCCGCCGGCGCGGCGCACCTCAAGCTGGACGGATGGCTCCCACGCGAGCAGCGACGATGTGTCGATGACGATCGCCTGCGGCGGAGCAGCCCGTCGCGAGTTGGAGGCCTCTCCCCGGGGCGTCCGAGTGGCGGGTGCGAGTGGGTGCGAGGGACCGCGCACCTCGCCAGCCGCCAGCTCCTTCTCGACAATCGCGCCGCCGCCGCAGATGAAGGCGACGCCGTCGCCCGTCATGACATTATAGAAGAGCCCCTGCCCGCCGCAGCAAGCCGCGCCGGCGCTCTGAGCGCGCTGGATGCTAAACTCGGTCTTTGTCGCGACGGAGGCGAACCATGCGCTCGCGCTCAAGTGAATGCCGTTGTACCTGGACATGTCTAACGGGAGGACCTGCGAGGGCGAGCGAGGGGGCGGAAGGATAACGCAGACGCCCCCTGCCCAACTCCCTCTCGCACACCGCCGCCCTGCCCCACCCAACCCCCTTCGCAGGGCGGCGGCGCACGGCCGCCTTTGCCGGCCACGAAGGCGACGCGGCCATCGGAATTGGCTCGCTCGATTTGTTCTCGTACATCAGGCGGAACATCGACCCACCGGCGCAGCAGCAGCGCGTGCACGCCTGGCCGCAGCCTCCGTCGGTGCCAATCTCGGGCATAAGCGACTCGTGCATGTGCACCATCTTGCCTGGCTCCATCCTATGTGCAATGGTGGGCTGAGCTGAAACTTGCACGGGGTGGCTGGCCTCGTCAGAAAATGAAGTCGTCGCCTCATGATCTGGCCGGGCTGCAGCATGACCTCGACGCACTGCGCCTCGTCGCCTGCCGCGCGAGAGAGGGAATGGGGGGGCGGGTGGGAGGAGAGCGGCGTGGCAGCCTCTCGGGCCAGCACAAAGCCGCGCACCGAGGATCTGGAACTGCACGCCGTTGTCGCTCTGCTGCGTCTTTGGCTCCTTGTGCAGGATGAGGCCACTCATGAGAGGAGTGCCCACGACGGCAACTCCGGCCTCGTAGGTCTTGAGCGGCGTGGACTCGGTCTCCATTCTGTCTCTGTCTTGAAGCTGCTCGGCGTCTGGCGTATGTGGATATCGCGCGTCGCGTATTCGTCCGTCCGGCCAGCACTGCGATTGCCACTAACCGCAAGAAGTGAGAGTCGGGTTTTATGTTGGGTTTTGAAAATCTCTCTCTCTCTCTCTCTCTCTCTCTCTCTCTCTCTCTCTCTCTCTCTCTCTCTCGCTCTCGCTCTCGCTCTCTACTCTCTCTCTCTCTCTCTCTCTCTCTCTCTCTCTCTCTCTCTCTCTCTCTCTCTCTCTCTCTCTCTCTCTCCAGTGCGCGCCAGTCCCGTGCCCAAAAGAAAGAAATAAACCAGACAACCCCAAGGAGTGGGGGAGGAGGACCGGGTCCCCACCTGCACGAGCAGGATTTTGGAAGGACGATCAGCGCAGAGTCGATGAATTCTCTTTAGCTTTGCGTTGGCCGCCGCCCCGCAGCGCCCGGGGCCTCCGCCGCACGCCGCCTCCCGGCTTGCTCACCCAGGCTCAGATGAGACTCGACGCCGCCGTGCCGGTGCTGCCGCTCGCCGGCGTCGTGCCCTTTCCGCAGAGCCCGCACCCGTATCTCGTTTCTGCTCCGGTCGGCGGCGCGGGTGGCAGGGCCGCCGCCTTTTACCAGCCCGCCTTCAGCCCAATGGCGGACGTTGGTGTCATCGCCGAGGTCTTGCCGTGCGGCGAGGGCGGCCTGCTCGAGTGCACCCCGCTCGACCGGGTGCGGCGGATGTCCGATGGCGCGCTCGACGTCGTCGCGGACACGCCGCTCGACGAGGCGGCGGCAGAGGAGGCGGCGCGCCTCCACGGAGAGCTGTGGACGCTGCTCGCCACGCTCCGGGGCGCGGACGCCGCGGATGGACCCCTCACATCCCTGAGGCCTGGCGCCGCTTCGCCATCACACGCCTCTCTTGCGCTGGCTTCTTGTTGCGAGCTGGGCACGGCGGAGCAGCAGCGGCTGCTTGAGACGGTCGACACGGTCGAGAGGCTACGGTCGCTCGAGGTGGCACTCCGCGAGGCGGCCGGTGTCGTTGCGGCGCGGGCAGCTCTCGCGAGCTTGAATTTCTCGTAGATAGCGTCTAGCTTTGAAAACATCCCTTTTTTGTCACATATTTTAATCGTTCAGGGAGAGACAAAGCACACAGAGCCGGAAGAGTTGCCGCCGCAAGCGTTAGGCAGTCAGAAGAGCGATCTTAAAATTCTTTCACACGACAGAATGAGAGTGGGGCCGCAGGCGAGCCTGCACGGCTCACGAACTTGGTCGTGCGCGGCTCCCACTTTTCTGGCCGGCAGCCTACCATTGTGTCGACCATCGCAGGCGCATGCACATCATCATTTGCAGGCACGGTGTTCTCTACCGACTTTTGCGGAATGATGCGGGCTCTCTCAGCATCAGACAGCTTTAGCGAGGGCGATCCGGCCGCCTACAGCTCGCCGACGGCCGAGCAGCTCCTGCTCGAGCATTGCCGACTCGTGGGGTGCCCGCGTGCAGCGGCGCTCAGGAGAGAGTGACTGCCGCAGAGTAGAGGGAGACACTCGCACTTTTGCGCGCTTCGCAATTTCGCCCGGCGTGATGTTTGTGCGCGCGCCGCCACACGTCGCAAATGCGGGAGCTATGGCGGGACCGCTATCGAGTACAGACGGCATCGGCCGCCGAGGGAACCGGTTGGGAAGAGGCACAAGGAGGCAGGAGGGCGGCGACCTCAACCGACACTATGGAGGAGCACCAGCCGCCAGACGACGCAGGGCAGACGACGGTGAGGCGGAGCAGACGCGCAGGGCGAGATGAGGGAAGGAGCAGGACTTTGCGGAGATCAGCAGGAGGATGTACGAAGACGGTCTGTGGGGAAGAGATTAGGAGCAGCAGGGACCTCCGAGGGACCATGTGGAAGACGGCTGGTGCTAGTCCCCCAGCGGGAGGACGACCCCGGCTAAGTCGCCGACCACACCCACAAAGAACCCTGCACAAAGATCGCAGGGCGGGGACCTGTTCCTTTTTACCCATCTCCTAGAGGTGTCCGTTTTATTTCATATTTGTTACTGGTTGCGTAGTAGTCTAAGTTCTGAGCCTCGAGGCTGAGCGGGTCTAAGTGTGCCATGGCACGCTGGGGTGCTTGCGCGGTCTAAGATCAGCGGGAGCCTCTTACGTCGGCTAAGTCGGCCGTGGCACGGCCTGGGGCCAGGAGGCTCCCACCGTGATCAACGATACGGCGCAGCCCCCAATTTTCTTCGCCTGCGGCGGGCGATCGATCCTCTTCATGCTTAGCAATCGCCGCTTCAGCATCCTCCTCTTCCGACTTTCGTTGGAGCAGGCGCACATCGCTTCCAGGGAGGGGGGCGCCCTTCTACTCACACCACATGCTAGGGGGGGGGGTGCAACCTCCTCCAGAGCGTTGAAGACATGCTAGGGGGGAGGTCCCGACCCCCCCAGCGCCTTCACCACATGCTAGGGGGGGGGGTGGCGCGTGAGTAGAAGGGCGCCCCCCTCCCTGGAAGCGATGTGCGCCTGCTCTTGCTGCTCCTTCATTCTTGAGCGACGTCTAGCCAAACAGTTCTCACATGACACGAAGCTCCTCAAGCTTAATCAAATGCGTGACGGTGAAGGCGTGAAGCCTGTGTGTGCTCGTCCTCTTTTTCGGGTAAACCTGGACTTTTGCAGGTATACCCCGGTTATTTACCCGAGTTGGCCTCTTGTGTCGTCTAAAAGTTCATGGCCCCCGACCATACAGCGTCTAAGTCTGAGCCCGGCTCCGTGCGGGGGCTAAGTTGAGCGCTCGCTCGCTGCAGAGGCTAAGTGTAGAGCGACCCTCTAGCCCTACTACCCAACCATTTATTTGTTTATTTACTCTACCCTCACGCACTACGGAGTCTCTACAACGTACAAGTCTGCGCCTCGGGCAGGTGGCGGAGCAAAGCGCGCGCGGCTGCGCGGCTTGCAAGCTGCGGCTCGCCGCCGTCACCGACGGCGCGGAGGGAAGGCAGCACCAGCTGCCGAATCTGAGCCGCCTCGGCGCGGGCGAGGGAGGGGCGGGCGAGGAGGAAGTCTGCCTCTTCGGCGATGCGGCACGGCGTGCAGTCTTCGAAGAGGAGCTCGGTGAGGAGGGTGCGGCCGGCGAGGATGTTTGGGAGGGAGGCGTGCCGGAGGACAGGGCGGAGGAGGCGCCTGCGGCGCGGGGAGGAGGGGTGGCGAGGAGGGGTGGCGCGGGCGGGCGGCCTGGGGTACCCTACGGCCTGCCGCAGTGGAGGGGCGTGTCCCGCCGGATCACGAAGCCCGTCAGCCAGCTGGTCGAGTAGACGGCCACCTGCGGCACCCCCGCCGCCGCGAGCTCGAGGTTGATGGTGCCTGTCGGCGCGGCGGCGGGTGGGGCCGCCGGGAGGGAGGGGTGGGCAGCGGCTCGAGGAACGCAGTGCCTAAGGCCCACAACGCCGCTCAGCCAAACCCCTCCCCACTCGGCGCGTCGCGGCGACGAGCGGCGTGCCGCAAGCGGCGATGGCGACGTCCGCGGCGCCGAAAGCAGCCCGGCGAGACCCGCTCCCGACCACGCTGCAGCGCGCGCCGCCTCCCGCTGTGCCTCTCGCTGCCTGTTCACACCTCTCGTTCACACCTCCTGTTCACGCCTCCCGCTGCGCCTCTCGCTGCGCCTCCCGCCAGAGTCTCGAGCACGATGCGATCGACCTCGCCGCGCATCCCCGGTGCCGCGGGCACGACCAGCTCGATCGGACCTAGATGCGGCAGCACTCGCGACCGGTCGGGGCCGCCTCCCGCCGCCTGTGTGTCCGCCGCCCCTCGAGCGAGACCTGTGGGACGTGCCCCAAGACATGTCGTGGACGTGTCGCGGACATGCGTGTCCGCCGCCCCTCGAGCGAGACCGGCCCAGCGGCTAGAGAGCGCCTCGCCGCGCCGCCGCCGCTCGGCGAGCCTCTCCGCGCCACGCAGCAGCAGCGGCAGCATCGCCCTCACCTGGAGACCCAGCGACGCGCGGAGTGGCCGAGAGGCACGCACTGGCCTCGCACACCGCAGTCGCACGCCTCTTGCGCACGGCTACCAGGCAGCAAGCAGAGGACTTGCGCGCACGGCGAGAGGCCGACTTCGCGCCGGAAGGCCGTCGCCTCGGCCGCCCGCTCCGCCGCCGTGCCCGGCGGCTCGCCTCCGATCGCCACGTCGTCGAGCGCCGGGTGTCCGACAAAAGTGGCGGGCACTCCGGCGCGCCGAAAGAGCGCCTCGGGGTGGGGCAAGGCGCGGGGCCGTGGGCAGCGAGTGCTCCGGTGGAAGCTGGCGCGCGAGGGCGGGGAGGAGGGCCGGGGCTGCGGGGCGGGGCGGGCGAACGCTGCTGCGGCCGCCTCCTCGAATGGCAGCAGCACGAGGAGCTCATCCACGCCTCCGCGCAGCCGCGCCGCCCGCGCGTCTGCGTCGCCGAAGGCCCACGCCGACGGGCCGACGTACTGGACGAGGACAGGCGCCGCTGGGATGCCGTTGCGGCCGGCGGCGGCGCGGCGATGTGCGAGCGAGCGGAGCAGGCGGAGGTTGAAGCCCTTTGAGTCGATCCCGACGACGACGTGCGGCTGCGCACGCCGGACTGCGCGCTGTGTCTGCAGGAGCCGGGCAGCGATGCGTGGTAGCGACGGGAGCACCTCGGCAAAGCCGGCGACGCTGAGCTCCGACATGGGGAAGAGGGAGGAGGCTAGCCCTTCGGCTCGCATCGAGTCGCCTCCGACACCCTCAAAGTGGATGGCGCCACCGTACTCGTTGCGCAGTGCCCGCATCAGGCGACCGCCTATGACGTCGCCCGACGCCTCGCCGGCGACCAGGAAGACGACGGCGGGCGACGTGGAAGAGCGCGAGCTGAGGTGGCGGCCTTGCAGGGAGCGGAGGCGGAGGTTGGCGGCAGCGCAGCGCCGCATGCAGACAGGCAGACAGAGCCTCTGCGGGCCCGGTCGGACGAGAACTGGTTGGACGGCCGGCGCAGGCCCACGTGGGAGCTTGCCACGGTGGCGGAGCGTCCAACGACTGGTGGGCGGACAGCCGGCAGCAAGAGAAACCGCAGTCACGACCGCCACTTGAGCACTTGAGCACACGCACACGCACGCACACACACACACACACACACACACACACACACACACACACACACACACACACACACACACACACACACACACACACACACACACACACACACACACACACACACACACACACACACATGCACAGACACGGGAGGATGCGATGAGGTGAATGAAGTCAAGCTCTGGACGCCCCTCCTCAAGACCTCCTCGGCGGGCGTTGGCAACGCCTCGAGCGGCGGCACGCCCGCCTCCGTTGGCCACTCCTACGCCTTCGGCAACACCGAAGAGAAGGCCCGCCGCCTAAACATGGGCTGCAAGGCGCGCGGGCAACCCGGCCAACCCTTCGACCACAAGAACGGCCACGGCTACGTCAAGGCGCATCGCGGTTTCTACCACGACGCGATCTTTGTCAAGGCGCCTCGGCTGAGCCCGCCGCGCACGCCTCGGGCGTCTCCCGCCGCGCCTGATTCGGAGGGCAAGTGCGGCGGTGGCGAGGGTGAGCGCAGGGCGGCGCCGGGTTGGGTGGAGTGTGGGCGAGCGGCGACGCGCGGGGAAGCAGGCAGGAGCTCGGCACCGGCGTCGGGCGCTTCGCCGCCGGTTCGGCGTCGCTTGCCGAGAGCCTCTGCTTTGCCGATCTCTTGTCCGCCTTGCGCTTCCGCTGGCCCTCCTTGTACGCCGCCATCTCCTCCTCGTAGACGGCCAGCTTCGCCTGGTAGTTGGCGACGCGCATCGTGTTCAAGGCGACGTCCTTCACCTTCTTCGGCTCCCTCGGCTTCTTCGGTAGCGGCGCCTTCGACGGCGAGGCCTTTGGCATGCTCGGGCCGTGTACCCAGAATTTGCGCAGCCCCCCCGGAATATCGTGTTTCAGGGCTTCCGAGGTGAACCTCGCAGCGAAGAATAAGATTTTGGTCAAAGGGGCGAGAGAGTGATGCTGTAGGGAAACAAGAGGAAAACGGAAAGAAACCAGGCAGGGTGCGAGAAGAAAACATACATAAAGCCTAAAGGGCTAGCACTTACGCCTGTCTTTTTTCTCACACATCACCGCGAGCTACAACCTCGAGGCTGCCTCGCGCCACCCGCCAACATGCTCCACTTGCTGGCCGCAACGGCGGCGGCACTCCTGCAGCCGGGTTTGCTCTCGCTGCCGCGCGTCTGCCGCGCGCCGCTGGCGCTTGTACGGGCGAGCCTGTCCGAGGCGGAGAGCTCCGAGGTCGAAGCGCTACTTGAGGAGCGGGATGCGATGCGGCGCGAGCGTGACTACGCTGCGGCGGATGAGATCCGCGAGGAGCTGCGGTCGCGCTTCCGCGTCATCGTCGACGACCGGCAAAAGAGCTGGTGGGTGGACGACGACTCGTCCAGCAACGGCCGCCGCCGCGGAGATCGCGGTGGCGACCGGTATGCGCAGTCTGGCCGCGGCGGGTCAGACGGCGACACCGCCGACATCGAGGCGATGCTGCAGGAGCGCGACGATCTGCGGCGCTCGCGCGACTTCAACGGAGCGGACGCGATCCGCGACGAGCTCCGGGAGCGGTGCGCCGACCGCCTCGGCTGGGCGCACTCTCGCCCCGCAGACTGCCACACCGCCGCGCTGTTGCGCCGCAGGTACAACGTGGTGATCGACGACCGGGAGAAGAGCTGGTGGGTCGACAGCGGCGCCTCGAGGGAGCGAGGCGGGCGGGGCGGCGGCGCTGGCCGGGGCGGCAGGGGCGGTTACGACAGCCACGGCGCGACCGACGACGTGGCGGCCGAGGTGGAGCGGCTGCTCGAGGAGAGGGACGCGCTGCGGAGGGAGAGGGACTACGCGCGCGCGGACGAGATCCTCGAGACGCTCCGCTTCGAGCACGGCGTCGTCGTCGACGACCGCGAAAAGACGCGCGCACGCGC